TCTTAGCTTGAATTCTTGAAATTTTATAGAAATTTGATGCATCAAGAACGCCACCTCAATTTAGGGGTAAATCAGACTTACCAAAAAAGTAACCGCAGATCTACCAAAAACGTAACTTTTGCCGATCAATCACTTACTTGTCACGTGCATCACGTGCACAAGATATCGATTGATCGTTCGCTTTATATACAAGTTTACCGCATACTGTGTATCACCATGACACCTCTAACCCATTAAACCCGTTACTTTCTAATCTACAATGTATATAATTTTTAAACTTGTTGTGCAAATAAAATATATATTAATAAGAATCATTTATGTTAGTTAGGTCATATGTAAATAGTTTTAACTTCTTTTAAAAAATTTTTTCTAGAACTATGCAACGTCTTTGAGTGCAACTATTAATAAAACTTACATGCTTGGAGGTTTTTCATTTCGTTCTATAGATGTGGATAACCGTGCATTCAGTTCAGCTATTTCTGCATCTCTTACTCGGGTTGTTGTAATTAATGTTCGTTCCTGAGTTTCTAACAACCCGATTCTTTTAATGCGTGCTACTGAGATCGTTCTCACTTACCGCATTACTGTTATGGATTTAATGATAGTTCAACTTTATGTCATTTTCTGCCATTTTTTCTAACAAACACCTGAAAAAATTAACCCACGATTAATCCCCCGACAGTCAATTCACTGACACCTTAATTTCTTCAGTACTCTATTTCCTGAGGAAATAAAGGTTTGGGGAGTTGACTGTCGGAGAAATGATTGTTGAAGAAATTTTTTCGGAGAAGTGATGAAAAAAAAAATACTAGGGAAATGATATTAAACCAAATTAATGATAAATACCTGTTGTTATTGTACATTTTCAGCCTCTAATTCCGAAACTCTCTGTTGGAGAGTTTCGTTTATCTGATCTTTGCAATGCTTCGATTTGTAAAACAATTTCTGAATCATATTGAATTTTTTTTTGCATAAATAAATGTTAAATAATTTTTTATGCGCATATGATATTTAATTTGATATAATACCTTGAGTAAAGCAAAGTATGAAGCGAAATATAATGCAAAATATGAGGTGAATATAATGCAAAGTATGAAGCAAAATATAAAGCAAAGTATGAAGCTAAATATAAAGCAAAGTATGAAGCAAAATATAAAGCAAAGTATGAAGCTAAATAAAGCAAAGTATGAAGCGAAATATAATGCAAAGTATGAGGCGAATATAATGCAAAGTATGAAGCGATATAATGGTTGAGAAGAAGACTGTGAGTCCGAAGCAGTATATATTCTATCTTCTCTTCTTGACATTTTAAGAGCAGAAAAATGAAAATTTTAAAGGCAGAGATGAAGACCGTGAGAAATGGGCCCCTCCAGGGGTCTAGACACTGACGTTAGTAGCTCACCCACAAAAAATTTTCCGGTCATGTGACTTTTTTATGGCACTAGC